ATTCTATTCTATTCTATTCTATTCTATTCTATTCTATTCTATTCTATTCTATTCTATTCTATTCTATTCTATTCTAAATACATGCATGTGTTTTTTAATGTTATCAGGCTTGTAGGACCTTGCACTTGTTTAGATTCCCAGTGTACGTTTGCATTTGATGTGTTTTTCTGCTAAGAAATTACAATGGGCATTGCAAAGCAGAGTTATTCTAATAATGTCTAGGGATGCTTTCTGTTCCGTGTTCCAACTCGTATTTGCTCTAATGACCCACATTTTAAGAACCTGAGTTTGATGAAGAGTCTCTTGTTCCGATGTATCTTGGCAATGCTCTTGTGGAGAAAGGAAGGAGATTCCTGGTTTACCTTCTTCTTAATACGGCATCTTGGAATCCGCAATCTCAACTGCAAAGAAAAAAAAATATAAAATGCATAACGGTTTGGGACAAAGCTGATTTCCTGGTAAGGAACTTTCAGAAGTTTTTACTTAGAGGGCTTAAAAACTATTTGGACCAACAAGATTTTAAATGATGTTCAACTTCCCCCTCCATCTGTTGCTTTCTTTTTATTTCCCCCAAAGGTCCACCTCACCAAAGGTGACTCTTGGGTGGAGCCCAAGAAGTGGATAAAACCACATATTTAAAAACAAAAAGCAAAATGCTAATAAACAACACTTTAAAAAGTCAGTATTATAAAAAAACAGAAGAGAAGAACAGCTAGCAATGAAGTCTTCTACAGTTGGCAAATTCATGGCAAATTCAGAGTTGACAAATTCAGAGTTCAGGCTCCATATGGCACAGATTAGGAATATTTGATGTAACAGACCAATCCCAGATGTATAGACGTCTGTCACAATTATCAGAAACAGGAGGAACCATTTATATGGCCTTACATAAGGCAGAACTATGTAATATGAAAGATGCCACTCTGATGCTGAAAATGTACAGCTTGGTGTTAATTTCTCTCTTCCCACTCACTAACGATTTAATTTAATTGTAACTCAGGCAACTTTTTTGGCAGATGGGAGACACAGTGAATGAAAAATTTTTATTTAGCTGCCAAGAACCTAAAAATAGCAGGTGATGACCCAAATCTATCTCCATCTTTTTCCCTTTTGGATTTTTTTTTGAAGGGAAAATTAGAGATATTGATATGAATGATTGATTTGAATGCCCCTATTTTAGATGGCATTCCAACAAAACCTGGTGGAATATTTATACTATTGTTGCTCACAGTTTGGGGGAATTTGATCTATTGCCTCAAAAGGTTCATCTCTTTCTCAGAGTAATAAGTTTGAAACACCAAATGTAGGAAGACAAGACGAGATTTTCTATATTTTAGCCACTGCTTCCATTATACACATTCACTTACAACTTATTTTTTTCATCTATTGGCCTCAATTTATGTTGGCTTCTTTTTAAGTTCAGTTTCTGAGCCAGGGATTGCCCTCAACAGGACTTTAAAAAAACCCCTCCTTTTATGTGTGCAGGCACAAAACACGTTAAAAAGGAACAGGCTTTGATTTTACAGGCCTGGCTGCCATCTTGAATTTTTCAACCCTCTCCCCGAGGACATCCTGTTCTCTGTTCAACAGCTTCTCAAGAATTTAAACAATAACTGTAATTAAATTGAGACATTAGAGTCGTGCATTTTATTTTGGAAGGAGACTGTTGAGGGCCAATGTGCACTGAGGTTTTAGGAGATTTGCATGGCTATTGCGAAAAGCAGATTTTAATCTCAGATTCTCTGCTTAGAAAAACCAGGACTTAATTGCTTCTCAGGTAAGTCCAACCTTCATCATATATATATTAACTGCAAACTTGTGTTTAATCCTATTTGTTCTGTGGTTGTCAACAACAAAAATGTTGGGCTATATCAGTGCTTAAGGCACCTGGCATGAAGCATTTTCCTCAAGGATAAAAATTTCATCAGTTTTGAAAGTCCTTGTAAAGTTATTGAGACTCGTTAAGGTCTTGCTTAATAAATCTGACAACACCTAGCCAAAGTAAGACCTATTCCCCACTAAACACTTAGCTCATCTCCCAAACCACCGCATTCCTAACCCTTTAATGCAATCTAAAGGAATGGAAATCATGTTCACAAATACATATGCAGCATGTCTTATTACTTCTACTTATTTCTTCTAATTATATGAAAAAGTAAAAAAAAAACCTAACAGCTGTAGTCATTTTGTCTTCACGTCCTTCCATGTACCAAATTTGAAACTGGGTGTTGCTTGTGGGTTGTTATTATTATGATGGTTGATCATGCAACCAACTAGATGTTTTATAACTCAATTTGACATGTTTTGCAGGATTTGGGCATGGCTAGTCGAGAGAAAAGGACTAGAGGTGACATAATAGTCTTCCAGTATTTGAGGGCAGGGGTGGGATTCTACCAGTTCGCACCTAGAACCGGTTGTTAACATTCTAAGCACTTCGGGGAATCGGTTGTTAGAAGAAATTACTGGCCTAATCCTGTAAGGAAGGCAGGAAGGAAACATTCTGGTGTTGCCTACAGAAACTGTCTCTCCGTTAACCCTTATTACATTCTTGGCAGGATTAGACTTCCTGTCTCTGGAACTTCTCTGGAGTTTTTTTTTTTTCCTCTTTTGCTGGTACTTTGCTTGTGTGGAGTGACCATTCAAAGTTACAATGGCACTGAAAAAAGGTGACTTATGGCCATTTTTCACACTTATGACTGTTGCAGCATCCCTACAGTCATGAAAGGCCAGGCGAGGAGATGTATGCCTCAATGTGAGTGATGTTGAGTTGGCCACACCCAGCCAATAACATGATCACCAAGCCATGTCCACCCAGTCACATGACCACCAAGTCACGCCCACCACATAAGCCACGCCCACAGAACCAGTTGTTAAAATCTTTGAATCCCACCCCTGTTTGAGGGGCTGCCACAAAGAAGAGTGGGGCGAAATTATTCTCCAAAGTACCAGACAAGAAACAATGGATGGAAACTAATCAAGGAGAGAAGCAAAACCTGGAATTGGGGAGAAATTTCCTAACAGAAGAATTAACTAGTGGAAGAGCTTGCCTTCAGAAGTTGTGAGTGCTTCATCATTGGAGGTTTTTAAGAAGAGAATGGACAGCCGTTTGCTTGAACAGGGAGAAGGGACTCAAAGGTCCTTTCCAGCTCAAATTCTGAATTGGAAAAAAAATGAAATTTTTATCCACCTATTCGATCTCTTTTAGCATACATTGTTTCTCAAATTTGAAAGTGTTTAGATTCTACAAAACCAGACATTAGTAAATAGGTCAGTAGCGGAGTTTGGCATAGGAAAAGTAGATTTTCCCAGTCGACAAAAGTTACTCACGAAACAATTATTCATAAATAGTGCAACAGCAACCTAGCAACAGGTGAGAAGTTCCTACCCACATTTAGGATGGAATGATTGCTCGTTGCTCCAGAGTCACTTGCTGAAATGGGCAGCCGTGCAAATTGATTAAACGAATTAATGAATGATCTTCAAGCATGCTGAGACCTCGCTCCCAGGATGCTCAGTCAGCCTGAGGGTCCCAGCACCCCCATCTCCAAGGGACCCCAATGAGAGAAAAACCTAACCTGGGTGATGCCAAATGTTGGGAACCTGGCCACAGAAAGGTTCAGCTCTACAAAGCACGGATGAAAAAAATAAGAACGTTTTTTTAAAGATTGGGGACTTGTGACTTTCAGGATATTGTGCTGCTCGATGGATTTACTGCAATGTGGGTGTTTCTGTGCATTTAATTCCTGGAACAAAGCTTTTGGGTAGTGCAACCTTCATTAATGGAGCACAAGGAAGTCTTCAAGTTGTCAAGAAAGAAGCAGAATGTTGCTGCCATGGTGTTCCACAGCATGCTGTTCTCCAAGTCAATTATTCATAAAGCCTTTGCTCCAAGAACTCTAATTTGACACCAGTGAAAGCAACAAGAAAACTGTTACCACAACTGGCAAAAGAAAAGGTCTTTTTTGATGTTTTTTTTTTCTCTCCTTTAGCTGATCCCACGCAATATCCTAAAAGTCAAGCTGGGCTTAAATCCAGGTGATTTCACAAATGCATTCACATAGTTTTTTTTGGAAACCTACTGCCATAATCAGGGGTGTTGTTGTTTTTTTTTGGGGGGGGGGGGGGGGGGGCTCTACAGCTCAGAAATTCCTGGTGGTCTCTCATCAAAGTGCTAGCAAAATCCAACCCTGATCACTTCTGAGCTAAGAGAATGCCAACCAGGTGTTGGCTTGGCATCTGCTGAGGTATTCAAATTCCTATTTGCTTTTTAAATATATTTACTCTGATCCAGTTACTGCTGTGAGACTCGAATCCTTCCCGATTTGTTGTGACAAGTCTAGTCCCACTAGAGCAGGGGTGGGGAACCAAGGCCCTTTTATGACTTGTGGACTTCAACTCCCAGAATTCCTGAGCCAGCCGTGGACTTCAACTCCCAGAATTCCTGAGCCAGACATGCTGGCTCAGGAATTCTGGAAGTTGAAGTCCACAAGTCATAGATCATAATTCCACAAGTGGGATTCTTTCTAAAACAACACTTCATAATTTAGCACACCAATTTATTTTCTCTTCAATCAGCCATATTTCATACTTTTGTATCTTCTTTTAAAAAAATTAAAAGTAGAGTTTATTTTATCTTATAACAATATCTATACTGAAGAGAGCTGGAAGTAATTTTTTCCCTTATGTTATTTTTTGGGGCGGGAGAGGATTGTTGTGTCTAAAATTTTTCTTACTGTTCCTCTCCCCTACTTTTCTCTTTGTGTCATAACTTTGTATTTTAACTTTATTTTTGAAACTTAATAAAATTCTTTTAAAAAAGAAAAGAAAATCTCATCAAACCACAACTGTCTCATGATAGGTAATGTCCATTTTTTTGCCATCCATCCATCCAAGGAACGCACATATGTACACAAATACTTGCAGTTATATAAATAAATATCACATAAAAATTCAATCACTGTGTCCATCAAGGGTTCATATGCATGTAAATATCTAATAACTTATATATTTATTATTGAGGCTTACCATTCCAGGACATCTAGCTATGCCAGAAATACAAACACAGTTTTTGCTTCCTCTTTGCATTGTTTGGCAATATCAACCAACTTTAAGCTCTCTAACTCAGCTTCGTGATAGGCCCTGCCTCTTGGCCCTGCCTCTTTCTTAGATGTTTTTTTGAAATCTGTCTACCCTACAACACTGGATTTTTTTTTGAGAGAGATCTCCCATACAAATACAAACCAGGGCTAGTCCTACTTATCTTCCAAGATGAGCCCAGAAAATATTTTCTCTCACCCAAAGAATTGTCATTAATTTAGCCTTGACATTACTGGTCTTCTTTATTGGCCTGAGAAAGATGATGTTGATGATGATGGATAATAATAATAATAATAATAATAAT